CCGGCGGCCGAGCGGAGAGGGGAGGGGGCGGCGCAGGTGGTTGCAGACCACGTGCGTGCGTAAACAACGCATATAAAAAGTTTCAAGTCGCTAAAAAAATGTTTTGATTTTTTGGCATGGCATGACCCATATACAAATACATTTTATTGCTCACTGCCTTTTGAAGTTGGATTTCATCAAAAGATTGAAGACAGGGTGAGAGTGTCAAAGACGTGCGACTCGGCTGCCAAGTGACATTCCATCTCAGAAAATTATTAACTTCCATCGAAAAGGACTTCATCGATTTGTTGATACGTCACTTTTGTATTTTTAATGAAATCATCTTCCTGGTTCATGAAAATGAAAGAAATGACCCATGAGGCACTAAAAAAAAGCAATCGCTCTTTCAATAAATTTTCTGTTTTAAACCGATTCAGTGTGAATTAGAATGCAACACCTATCTTCTACTTTAAAGATTTATAGGCGCACTAAAGGTTAAGTTACAAGGTATTCAAAATATTCCAAATATTTTTGTTAGTTTTTAATGGTTTACTATCACCATTAATCTTACTTTATTGAATTATAACGATTGAAAGTGTTTTTCAAACTACTGCCACGTATTTAATTTACAAAATAATCTAATGAACCAATATATTTTATCATTTCCGTCAAAAAAAATAATAATTGGCATAATAAATCTTCTCAGACGCTTTGCACATTGTATAAGTGTTTCAGTCCTTGTTTTTAAAGTATAAAAAGCATTATGATTATTTTAATATTCCATCTCACAATTTTTATGAATGTATTTTTGTTGTTTTATTTATGTGTGAATTATTTAATTATATTGCGATGTTTTCATTCAGTTTTATTGTTATTATTACTATTATTATTTTATTATTATTATCAGTTAATTATTCTTAGTTGAATATGAATGGCGTACCATAAGGTATTGAAGCTAAATAGTTCACCATATCACTATTCATTGTAAAACGTTGATTTAGTATTTTATTACCATTGGCAGTAGTAGTTAAACATTTCAATCTCCGAATCTTGAAATTGAATATATGCATTCCATACGTACCATACACATACTATACATACTTCAGTAATAAATAATGTTGATTTCCTCAATCCCGAGAAATTATCGTTGTGTTATATGAAATATTATGTACGTCTTGTGGGATTATATCAAAACAATGCTTATTGAATGCTTGTTTAGTTCACTTCACAACAAGGATAATACGATGTTTCGTGTAATGGTTATAAAGTTTTGAAAATGATATTGAGTTCACAAATATTTCAACGTACCCAACAACCACAACGAGCGAAAATTTTATATAAATGACAAATTATTTTAAAACAATAACAAGTATTTCCTACAAGACTACAGGTTGGAATGACAATCAAGTTTTTCTGTCATGTTGCAACTGACAGTGAGGTAGCACTATTTTTAAACTATGAGTGCAAGAACCTTTGTGTAAAAACATTCTGCATGTGACTCTTTTTATGTCGAACCGCGAGCTTACAGTGAATGGTGAGAGTAATTCAGGATGTTCGTCCTTGTGTGCGCAGCGTGCAATCGCACCTACATGGGCGACGTGGGTCGAACCTACGACCTTGAGATCCGGCGGCCCCGAGAGGATCGTCTGCCCTTCCTGTGCCACCTCAACTTCACCGCGGGCGGCGGCGACTACGGGGACCTCGTGCAGGTAAGCCACGCTGTTGGGCCACGTCTGCAACAGTGCATTTAGGCTGGCGGCGCACGAGAGACAAATGAAGGACGTTAAAGTGTGTCCATCGTAGAGAGAAAAGGGAACTCAAGCAAATCGTATCTCTATGCGCGACGTACGTTGAAATTGGCGTACGTTATCTAGCGGACAACGGACGTGAAATGGTAGCCAACGTGCGTTACTATTCGATGCTGGTTGTAGCTTGATTGTTGGGGTACTTTCAGAAATGCGACGGACGTTATAAATAAAACTCTTATTGCTAAGCAATCGAAAGAACTATAGTATAGACAGAATCGAAGTAGACTCGTCAATGTCTAATAATAATTTAAATAACTTGTATGATGATACATGGTTATTTTATGGTTAATTTGGTATATTGTTATTTTTAACTTCGCATTCCAATTGAACACCAATGTGGAGAAGAAAATTCTCACTGTCTCTTTGCAATCAATGGTATATTAGCGAAACATTCGACACATAAATAACGATTATTTTGCAATATTTAGCAGTTGTACTTGCATATAATCTATAATTAGTGTTTCCCTGTCATCATGTTTGCTTAATATTTACCCGCGATCAGTCACAATTCTATGCGAACAACGCAAGTCCCGTTCTATCACCCCGGTGAAACAATGCACGTGTTTCTGCTGCACGGTGACAACGTCCGTTGCCCGACGTTCGTGTGACAATAGCTAGCCAAAGTGTTCGTGATCTGAATATAAAAACCAACTGAGAACAGCAACACAACTGAAAATGACAGTTTTGAGTAATGTGAGTGATAAACACGTACGCCCTCATGAGTACGAAAAACATCGGAGCTCAAAATCTGAACTGATCCGCCAAAAGACAGTTTTTTTCAATTTTATTTGATGTTCCTTCTTATGCATAGCGTCTTTTAGTCGTAATATGCGGAATTCTCCATTTTTAGTTATGACCGTTTCAACCGGGTTGTGAAATATTATTTACTCTCTTCGCAAAGCAGTTGGAAGGTTAATCAGAAGAGAAAGATGTGCCTAGTGTATGTGTTCAAGTATAAATTTAACATAGCCTCAAAGAACGAAAACGTTTATTGAATTGAATAAAAGTCCACCAGAAAACGTTGTTTCTACTTCATTTGAAAAACTATCTCACTGTAAAACATACTTGTTGCGATTCTTTTAAATCAAATTGGATTCTTTGCAGACTACTTTGTGTCAAAATTGCGCAAAGTTAAAAAATTACTTGTTTAGAAAACAATTTTATTAATAAACCTTGGGTAACCTATTTCCTTTGCTCGGTTGGTCTGAACATTTTACGTTGATTTGAAACGTACTAGACAGCGTTGCGGTTACTTGAAATGTGCAAATGTGCAATGTGGTTATTTAAAAAACTAACAACGCAAAAAAATAAATAGTGTTGCTTTAAAATAGGAACTCCGCAAACAACTGCTTACAAATTACAACAGTTTCAATAACGTGCTAGTTACAAAATGTGTCGTATTAAATGCATTTGTGTACGTTCGTCACTTTTGCGTTTTATTTTTAACGTTTTCCCATTTAAAGTCGGTAATCAATACTTCGGTGATCCATTACTATATTTTTTTCCATGTTATACACGCACACACCACACGCACATACACCACACACCACACGTACACACACCCACATACATACAGCACGCAAACCACACACGCAAATGTATATGAAAGATTTTTCGTTTCATTTTGTCTTACGCATTGTGTCCACATCGTTTACGTATTTTTTCTCTCTACACTACAGAATAGGCAGGAAAAGCATTGGAATCACCTGAATAATACGGTCCTGCATTTTGGTCTTAAAATCCGCGTTTGGGTTTGTTTTGACCTGTAATTTCTCACACCAAGAATAAAATATATACTATAAAGTGTTTTTCTGAAGACTTTTAAAATTAGAAGATATGGTGGAGAGTTACATGTAGCAAAAATTGGAATGTGTGAATATATGTACAGATGAACGGAAGTGTGTATCACGAATGTCTCGGTCAGACTAGATGTTTCATTTGGAACGTGTTAAAAGCTTCAGAAGTGAGATCTAGCTGTGCCATTCCTAAGATCATCATGATGTTTGCATCAGTTGTTTGAGGTACTTCATAAAGCTCCTTTGATATTTTCAAAATATCTGAAAAATGGATTCAATTTTTTAAAAAACATTTTGTGCGAAAAAAGAAAATAGATTTATTGATATAATAGTTCCACTATTTAATAAAATCACCATAATTTTTAAAATTGCAAAAGATCACTTTTATTTTAAAACTTATTCCACATCTCCATTATAAATCCATTTATATTTCTTTCTATATGCAATTTCTGTATTATATACAGTTCTTTGAAAGATGCAATCTAGTTTTATAAAATATGATCAGATGTGGAGTAATAACACTAAGAGGAGGAAAGGCTTCGTTATGTCGCGAATTTCCATTAGTTTTTATTTCGTGAATATCTCTTATATTGTGACTATGTGTTCTCTCTGTTTTATGACTGCTATATATTTCTGCGAATCTAATTTATTGCGGTTATAACTCACCTCGTCAGCGAGGAACATCAATATGCCACTTTCATTTCTTTACTACCGAAAACTTGGTTTTGCATCACAATTTGGAATTCAAAACTCTGTTTATTCATGTGGCTTTTGTTGCGAGCTTTGCGGCTTCGTCACTAATTTTCAGAAGATTATTCTTTTGTCTTTCCTTCTTTATCATGAGACACATTCAATTTTTTGGCACGTTTTATCAACAATATAACACATTTGGCGGTTCATTAACTATTATCTATTGTATTAATAGTCACCTGTATAATTTCTTATAAATTAAAATTTATTTTTGGCGAGAAACGTACAACATTTCGTAACTATAGGCAGTCGTTTCTGTAACAAAGAAACAATTCGATTAATAATATAATACATTTATTATATTAAGGGTTCTTTGTAGTAGAATGTTAAGATTCTTTTAATAGCATTTCTTCTCGTTCTTCCTATCACCCTCATGATAAAATTTTATCGACAAAATATAAGTCGTCATTGTGTTGTTTAATGAACCTTATATAATCGTAGACTCTACTACTTCTCTAAGAAAATCCGTGCTAAATATATACCTCCCGTCACTTAAGACTCCATCGTAATGAAACCTACGACACTGAGCCTATGAAACAACCGGAATTTCATAAGCAAAAATGTCATAATAATCTATAAGAATATAATAATAATTATAAAGTAATAATAATAATAATAATAATAATAATAATAATAATAATAATAATAATAATAATAATAATGACAACAATAATATTACTCGTAAATGTGCTTGCTGATGGTACACTCTAGTTGTGGATCGTTAGACATTCTTACGAAAATCAGCACACGTTGATAAATCACAGAGTTGAATCGAAATCGTCTTCGCTCTGCCCTCATTTCTCTTTTATTTCTTCTTTTCCTCCTCCTTCCCGCCAGAGAGCATCGCGGTCGAAGATCGGCGCCTCCTTGGGCAGCCCTGAGGCGCCCGCCCGGAAACAAAAGACGCTCAAAGGGAAGCGCCGCGCTGCGCGATGGCGAAGCGGGTGGGGGGGGGCGGTGGGGGGAGTCTGCGCCGAGTTCTCAAGAAGTAACTTGTAAAGAGCAGTAACAAATAATTCAAAAAGAGGAATATAAAGGGGAAAAAACACGCCCTGCCGACAAAAGGAAGTGAAGGTGTGAATAAGGGACGGCGGCGGCGCGTCAAGGGCGGACGAATGGTGTCTCGTGGGCGGAAGGGCGGGGATGGCGGGGAGCGGATGCAAAGGGTGGGGAGCGGTGAGGAGGGGAGCGAAGGGGAGGGGAGTAGCGAGGGGTGAGGGATTCAAAGGAAAGGCTGGGCTGCAGCCCACTGGGGACACCGCACGAGGAAAATCCGACCGCTGCAAAGCGGCCTTACTTCACGCGCCGTTTCCAATCGAATTTTTCTTTGTGCGATCTTCACAAGGTGCCTATGGAATGGCTGTTATCAAATTACGCGTGCTAACTTATCAAATGGATCCATATGTCAGTTGTAATTTAAAATTGTTCGCAGTAATAAATGTATTTATCTCGAAAAGTGTGTATTATTAGTATAATAGACACGTGATGTGCCATGCACGTTTTAATCTTTCTTCGATAAAAACATAAACTGAATTGAATTATATCTATTGTGCTACTTTTAAATCCAAATATCAATCACGTTTTCACTCAGATGTCTTAAAATATTTGAACGAAAACACTAAAATATCAAAACGCTTGTTTTTAATATTCCGCACCATATTCGTCTATTGTTTTTTTAGTAATATTAATTTTTACTCGGGGAAGTGAAAATTTAAAAAATTCAATTCTCCGTCTTTTTATCATTTAATTTCTTTCTTGTATGAAATTAATGTTTTCTTTCTCGTTGTTTGTTTTTTTACTGATGGATCAAGAAATGTAAACTGTGAATGATTACGAACTACAAAGTTTTGGTTTATAGGCACTAAAAGAAAGATTCACAAACTACAAGAATTATACCACGTATTTATTTTCGTTTTATCTAATCTAATGTTACGTACCATTTATTTTTGATTTCGAAACACACGCCTTGAAAGTTAAAAGTATAATAAAATAGATCCTACTTTCCACCTCTACTTCTACGTTAATTTCGAAATTTTGTCACAGAGAAAGGAATACATTTATGATGTTTTTAGGACTCTTGCGGTATTATAGTGTGTACGAAAACACAATGAAGTTTATTCGCTCTACATTTAGACCAACTTTGAAGGGATTTTTACGGCCGAAGGAACCCCAAAAGTTGACAGTTACCATCGATCCTGCCTTCATCAGAGATCGCATCTGTTTCAAACAAAACAATTCCTTGTCGACCAAGCGTACTTGATTTGTTTCATTGTACCTGAGTAAATTTACCTTCTGCTTCACTTACTTTACTGTACCGTACAAAAAATAAAACAAACAAAAGCACTCCGTGCTAGCGAAGTATGTAATAACCCGGCGTAGGCATGTTGCCAGCGAGGG